GATGTAAATTCCAATAGTGTGGTGAAGCAGGTCTTGAAGGAACCTCAAATTACAGCGACACAGTCCATGGGTTAGGTGTCCCACAGGTAATGTAGCTTGCAAATTGAGGCATAGAACAAGCAAGGCAGCCGCACACTGGTCCGATGATCAAAGAGTAACAGACAAGAAAGGTGAAGGCTTGCTCTTCAATTAAAACTTGTGTTCATTGGCCATGTTGGCACAATAAACGTTAACTATCTCAATCTGGTTTTAGCTGCCGATATTGAGCTTCTCCATTATCCCTTCACACAGATGTAGTCAATTTGATTTCTATATATTCCATCTGGAGAAGCCCATGTGTACAGTCATCTTTTGTGTTGTTGAAAAAAGGTATTTGCTATAAATAAGTCATTGGTCTTGCAAAATTTTATTATGTGAAAAAATAATTTGTTTCTATCACCAAGCCTGTTTTCCAACTATTCCTTCTTTTTTATATTCCAATCACCAAAAATTTATCAATGTATCTTGATTGCATATTTGATCAGTTTCTGAGTCGTTAGAATTCTTCAGTATTTCATCATTATGGTACATGAATTTGAATAGTAGTTGTCTTGATTGGATATCCTTGAATTGGATTTCCAGAGGGATATAATCCTATCGTAGACAGCGCTGTACTTCGCGATTCATTTTATATTGTCCTTTTTGATAATGAATGACATGCCATCAATTCTAGTATTCCCGGCATAGTAAATCAGGATTTTCTGACTCATAATGTCCAGCACAGAGTACATCCCACAAGTTAACCAAGGCTATAAATCCTCACAGAAGTAGATTGTCACAGCGTTCTCCCTCAGAATGACCAGTGGGTTCGATCCACTAACTTTGCAGTTAATAGCCACACACTTAACCATTAACACTCTCAGATGAGGGAAAAATCAGCCCAGCTTAGTAAGTTATTGGGGGTGGGGCCATAATGAGCCTTGGAAATAAAATACACAATGGCGTTAACTCCCATGATCACACAGTGAGTGCAGAGAACACTTAACATGTGCGGGGCTTCAAAAAGTAGGAAAATGGAATTAAAGATACGGAATTTTCCCACTTACATTTGGAAATTCCTTCACATGTCCTAGGTCAGTCTCATGAGGTATACCATTTATAAGCAAAGCTCTTTGACATGATTACTTCGTTGAAAGAAATCCTGTTTGTCAGGGGCTAGGTCAGTGAAGGCAGGCAGCATGTAGCTGACTCAAAACCAGGTGTCATCATCTGTCTGCAGCCTCCTCCTTAATCCGCTTTCCCACTTACCATTCCAGCCCATTTCCCTTTCCATGTCATTCTCCAAGTATGTAAGTTTCTAGGTGTAATAACATAAACTGGACAATGTCTAGGGGAGATCAGAGGCTTACTGTACTTGAATTACGACATTGGTGGAGAATATTGAATGTCCAGGAATTGCCAGAAAGTGAATTAATCTGTGTTAAAAGGAGTCCGCCAGATGTTCCTTGGGAGACTGAGACTTGGTCTCACGTCTTGGCATGTGATGAGGGGCCAGTCTTTGGAAAAGAACCTCATGCTTGGTAGGAAGTCAGCAAAAAGGAGAAAGACCTTCCACAAGATGGTTTGTCGCGGGGACCACAATGGGCTCAAAAGTAGCCGCAAGTGTGAGGCTGCACAGGATCAGGCAGTGTTTTGTTCTGTGGTGCAGTGATTGATTCAGTCAGAACTCACTCGATAGCACCTAGCAACAATACATGTATTTAGAAAGCACACATACACACTGTGGCCGCTACATTTAGAATGGACTGGGGGTGGGGGGGGGTGGAGAGGGATCAGGTAGGAAAAACAGTTCATGACATGCTAGGAACGATTGCAATTGCCTAGGTAAGAGGTATTAGTGATTTGGGATATGGTGACAGCACTGGAGAGACAAATTCATTTCTCAGTATATCTTCGTGGATATTGGTCATCATCTCTTAAGGGGAAGAGTCAAGGTGGATTCCAAAATTGGCTCAGCCACTCGGGTGGGTTGACACATTGTGGTCACTTATCTGAAGAGCTGAAGATCGGGGGAAAGAACAGGTTTAAGGGAGAAAACTCAAGGGTTCCTTCATAGGCCAGACTCTCCAGCCACATTCCCACATTAGTCAGGTAGTTTTCAACTCCTGGCCTTTTTTAAAACATTCCCTCCAAAAAAAGAAAAAAAAAAGAAAACATTCCCTCCATCGGAAATGCCTGCTTCCCACCCCACTCCCCATACTTAAGAGCAACCAAGTCCCAGGACATTTCTGAAACTCTTTTCTGACTCACCACTCACCCTAGTCACCCATCAGCTGGATAACTTGTTCCTCTAGACCAGTGGTTCTCAACCTGTGGGTCGTGACCTCTTTGGGGGTCAAAAGACCTATTCACAGGGGCTGCCCGATTCATAACAGTAGCAAAATTAGTTATGAAGTAGCAACAAAAATAATTTTATGGTTGGGGGGTGGGTCACCACCACCAGGAACTGTATTAAAGGGTTGTGGCATTAGGAAGATTGAGGGGGGGAGCGGGGAGAGAGGGGAAAAATGAGGACCTAATGTCGGGGGTTTAAGTGGAGAGAAAATGTTTTGAGAATGATGTACAAATGTGCTTTACACAATTGATGTGTGTATGGATTGCGATAACAGTTGTATGAGCCCCTAATAAAATGTTTAAAAAAAAAAAAGGAAGATTGAGAACCACTGCTCTAGACCTAACACCTTTTCCTCTCTCTTAAGGAATGTAATGATTTTTCTACCTTGAATTAATTTATATATACATTTTATTTCTTAGAATGCTAAATTGCTTTCCTCATCCAACTTCGTACCCCAGAGTACGTATTAGAGTGCTCTAGACCTAAGATGGAGAATAAGCACCATGTTTAATTATTGCCTTAATCACAGACTTACAAGGACTGCATTAACACACAATATTGGGGTCCTGATGGCACAGTGGTTAAGCACTCAGTTGCTAACCTACAGACCAACAGTGAGCCCAGCAGGCGCTCAGGGAGAAAGATAAAGCAGTCTGCTTCTGTAAAGACTTACAGCCCCAGGAACCCTGAGGTTTCTCTGCCCTGGAGGGTCACTGAGTCCATGGACTCAACAGCAGTGGGTCTGGTTTTTGAAACTCATGGTTTGAGATGCTTCCAAAGTAGTCAGTCACCTGTTGAACCCCTATAAAGCTGATATATTAAAAAACTGAAGCAGGTAGTTAATAACAAAAGGGTTCTTTCTACTTTGCATCACACATTGTTACTGTATTGTTACATGATTTAGTGTAGCTGTGTAATATTTTTATGCACCAAAAGGTGCATGATATGTGAACGGAAACATTTAACTGTTAGATAGGAATTGTATCTAATAGGTGGTACTGTAAGGTCAACAGTTCAAAACCACCAGTCACTTCACTAAAGAAAGATGCCTTCTTGTGAAGATCTATAGCCTCGAATACCATGTACAGTAGGTGTGGGGAACATCCAGCCCACAAAATCAGTATCATGACTCACCAGTGAAGAAGTTTCAACCATCACATCCCTCCCCCTCTCCTAACAAATGCCAAACTCACAGTCAATGAATGGACTCCCAGCAACCCTTTGAACAAGGTAGCACTGCTCCTGTGGGTTTCTGAAGACTCATCTTTCTCTGTGGAGTTGTAGGTGGCATCAACCTGCGACCTGTTCCCTTAGCAGCCCAATGTGTAACCACTACATCACCACAGCTGAGTTTTATGCTTGACCAGGATGGTCTGGATATGGTGTTATCAATGTCCAAATGGCCCTTGGCAGAAGTGCCCCACCTCTGCTAGGGTAACCGAGTCTAATGATGGCAGTGGGTGGTGTGGTGGTACTACACACACACTCAATTTAGACACGGACAGAACTTAATCTGGGATCTGGCTATACCAGTGCCATCAAGAGGGCGATTTAAGCCTTTCAATGAATGCATTGTTTTATGGGTTACAGGTTAGCTTCCCAATGAACCTATACCAAATCCAAAAGAAGATCCTTCCTACCAATAGTCTATGAATTACCAGAGACCTGGTAGAGCAGAGTAAACACTCAATGGCTAGCCAAAAGGTCCATGCTTAGACTCCCAACCAGCAACTCCATGAGAGAAAGGCCTGGAGCCCTGCTCCCGTAAAATTAGTCAAGGAAACCCCGAGGCAGTTGTAGTCTACCACAGGGGCTGCCGTTTATCTGAAAGGACGCAATGGCACACAAGAATACAGATTACTGACTCACCAGGGAACTAGGTGATAACACTGTCCAGTTCACTAGGAACTCGGTAGTCCTGATTTCAGACCACTCCTACTTGGGCAATTTGATAATCCGCGAGCAAGGATCCCTCTCCACCTCACCCCAATGGGTCAAGGCACTCTGCCAACTTTGTTACTACAATTGCCCTATCAGATAGGCAGAGCATCAGTGCACATACTGTTCCTTTGACATCGGTGGTTGAGAATTTACTGTGGGTGGGAATTCCTCAGCTCGGGGGACATCAACAAGAGCTTCATGAAATGATCTGTCACTTTCAAAATTAAGCTGTACCATCCTTCTGCGGTTTCCTTGGAAGGCCCATTTATTTCCTCATGTTCTCAAAGAATTCATAAAACAAAAAAAGTATGTCTTTCAAGAGTTAACCTATGGTGAATTTCTTCTAGTTGTATACTAAATTCATTATTTAAATTAAAACAAAATTGAAAACTGGATAGTCTGATTCTTTCTGCATATAGTAGCAGCGAAGGAGCTTGGTAGTGGTGTCAAATAGTCAATGGTTCAAGCCCACACCTACTCCAGAAGGGAAAAACGAGACCATCTGCTCCCGTGAAGATTCGGCCTTGGACACCCTAGGAAGGGTCCCTAGGAGCCAGCGTTGGCTTGGTGGCAGTGCGTTTCTCTCTTCTTCACAGTAGTAGCTAAAACCTAAATGTACCAACTTAAATACACTGACAAACAATTCAACATAACACAACAAAATTACAAATTAAATCAATAGAAATTAGGTAGATCAATTTATTTGTCTTTCACAATTATAATTGTAGAAGGGCTGTTTGACAAATTTCAGCATTTCTACAAACTATAGACATGTTCAACAAAAAGGCATTATTCTTGGCCCTTTAAATACAGGTAGTGTCCTATTGCATCCCATATGATAGAGATGCAGTAACAGTTGAGGGCACAATTAGAGAAATTAGGTGTTTTCTTCCAACTGCTTCTTGATAAATAACATTAACACAAACATCCATTAATGGCCATCAGGACCACCAGTGATTTGCAGAGTAAATCCATAACCTATCTATTTAAAAGACTGAATCTGGTTTAACAAGACTAAAATTGGTGTTTTTGACCTTTTAGGCTAGCAAGCCTGGACTGAGATTTCTCAGATACCAAATTTACAAATGTGGAAGGGGATTGGGAGAAGAGCTATGAGAATCCTGGCGTTGCATGCTCACACACAATCCAGATTAGGGAGTGTTTTGGTAAATGAAAAGTGTCCCTTGACTTGGCTATTAGGAAAGATATTCAGGATTGACAATCCATCACTGTTTAGTAAGGGCCATCAGTGGGCTTAAGAGACAAGCAGGGGTAGAAGAGGGTGAGGTAAGGCGAAATTATAGGAAAACGACAAATGGAGTATGTCTGAATGTTGGAGAATAGAAAAAGGTGACCAGAAACTGCTCTAGCTGCCCCTCAAAGGTGGTCTTCCCATTACTGGTGACCTCTTCCAGATCACCCAATTCAGGGCAGTCTGAATACAGGACTATCCCAACTTTAACAAGCCTGGACTCGGACTAAGAATACACTTCTGACCCAGTCAAAAGTAACAAGCACTCAGAGGTACAGTTCAGTTTTGTTACATTAAAGGAGGAGAGCAACTAGTTCCGACTGCTACGGAACAAGTAGGAGGGGGCCAGCAGGCCGTGATGAACAGCTCAGACATATTTTGGGGTCAGCAGCACGAGGATTAGACAACTTGTAGACTACAAACAAACCCCTTCCGATTCCAACAACCCCTATTATCCCAACTTGCCCAGAACTACAGTGGTTTTACTCTGACGTAGCTCAAAAGCAAAATGATTCTCGAAAACTCTTATCACATGAGGAGTTACTGGGACGTGACACAAACAGCACATTTCAGACCCTGGCCAGTTTTCACGCACAGATGTACTCTCCAACTTCAGGTGACCTACATTTGTTTCAAACGAACAGGACACTGATGAAAATCAGCCCATTTCTCAAACCACAAGCCTGAAACCATAGAAATGGGCAATTACGCTCCTCTAGTCAAAAATCTTCATTCAAGCAATGGTGAAATTGCCTGGAATTAGATCTTCAATAAACAGAGCTGTGAGACAGATCCAAAAATAAAGTTACAATCTCTCGACCCCAAGCACCAATGCTGAAGACTAAAGTATTACACCTACAAATCCTTAATGACAAGACTTTCCCAAGGAGAAATCCTGAGGTTTTACAAGCGCTGTGACTTTACAGAAGGCAGGTTGGTTTATGAGAAAGTTGCAATAAAAAGACAATCAACAATTTTTTACTTTGGGCACTTACTCGGCATTTCACAGATCCTCAACAAGTTTTGAGGTAGGTTAAATATTACCATTCATTGTACGTTGCCAACAAAAATTTGAGGAGGTTATTCAGCCCCAACCACAGCAAGAGTCTTATTTCAGTCAGGAATAACACGGTTCCTCTGATCTTTTGGATCAATCTTTCCACATGGGAATAGCTTGCAAACAATTCAGGAAAACAAAACAAAACAAAACAAAAGTCTAGATACTACAGAAATTTTACTTTGGGGTATTTCTGTAACTTTAAAAATCATTCGTATAATAGCTACACATATTTTGAAGTAACCTACATGCTCCTTTTCTGTAGAAAGAACATCCGACACATTACAAATGAGTGTGTCACTGATTTTGTTGTTGTTCTGCTCTGGAGGGGTAAGCAAGAAGAAAAATCAGCAAGCCGTGCTTGGTGTTAGGTAGCCTTTAGATGTAGGTGCTCAGCTCAAAGGACTATCTATAATGCTATGTTGGAGTTATCAAGACAAAGATGAAGAAAATAATAGTATCACCTCAGGCCACTGAACCTCATTATCATGCAACGGACAGCATTAACACATAATGAGGGCTGGAAAAGCAGTTCATTTATCCTAACTTAGATAGAGCCTGTTAAAATTTGCAATAGCCAGAACCACAAGTAAAATTTAAAACATTCAAGTGACATCTATAGAAACAGAATATTTAATTAATATTTTAATATGAATGTGTTCCACCAGTCATGTAAATTACTCAAATGGTAACAAGTCTAATTCACTTCACTCATTATATGCTAAAATTTTTACCAGAATTCAGCTCATCTTGACATAGGTTTCTGGGCCAGGCTTCTAAAGAATATAGTTCCTTTTATTTAAACAATTGTGAAACATTAACAATACAGGATTAAGAGTGGTTACTTAACACCTGAGAAATTATGAGAGCCCCATTATTGTGCTATGAAATATAGCATTCTCCAGAACAAATTTCCAACAGTACAGACACCTACATTCCCAAACAGACCTGCCAGCTCAACTCCACTTGAGTCAAAGAAGCAACATTTTAAAAGGGGGTGGGGTGGGGAGATGTACAAGCGCACATCAGAGCATCCCCTAACCTGTTGCCTGAATGGGACTCCTGGTTGACCTCCCAAGTGGAGACTTAAGTCCCCACTCAGTGCTGGTCTATCCAACTTTTTGTCCAGGATACAGGGAGGAGGTTGGGGCACACGAGGGCACATGCAGGGGAAAGGAGTATTGAAGCCTTTTATTTTAGTGTCCGCAAAGTTGACTGTAGAAGTAAAAAGTTTCTACATTAAAAAGTTCATATAAATTATATGAATTACAATTTTCTTAAAAGTCAGGATGAAATGTTCTGCATAGGACAAAGGATATGCCTAAGCAACATATCATATTTGCACAAGGCCACGGATGTCATGGATGTTAGTAACAAATGAAAAAGTTTACGTCTATTGCAGACTGAGTCAAGATTTCAGAGTTTGGTATTCTGTAAGCCCAAGATTGTAAACGACTCTCACTATACAAAAACTGTAATGACTGTATACAGAGTTTTGTGTAGGAACTCTTGTGCTTCTGGTTGGCACATCATCTACTTAATATGTGAAATTAACAACAGACATTTGTGAGAGGTTGTGCAAAACTACTGTATTTACAAAAATGGCACAAAAGTGAATTCAACAGTCGATGCACATGCATACTTCATTCACATCATCAACAACAAAAGGCATCCTAACGCTACAGACTAAAAAAAGAGTATTAGTCTCAACAGCAGCTATTAAGCACTAGTCACAGAAGTTATACCAGAATGGGCAAATATTGCCCAAGTACATTTCTATTGTTAAAGCTGAAACAGGTTTAAGGCCATTCAAGTTCAAGCAAAGGGATACAAATCTCTCAGAGACCCATCTATTTGTGTTGGACATACATGACTTTTCTCTCAACTTGTGGCCTTAAACTTCTGTTTTACAAGTCCAGAAGGAAAATTACAGCATAAATCAATAAAGTTATATTAAATTAGAAGAACATACAAAGCTATAGTTAAGATGAAATAAGGAACATCAAAACATTAAACTTGTAAAACTTGCTTGTTACTTGTGAGAACCAGTCCTTTACTAGGAGTGAGATAATATATACAATTATTTTCAAGTAGATTACTTTGTTACTCTAACATGTCCTTTTCATCAGTGCAGTTAAACTAATAAAAAAACTCTACATATGCCCTTACAACAGCAGCACCACACACACACACACACACACACACACCCTCTATCAATCTCAAATGACTTGGTGAATTGAAAGGAAATAAAGCAGAGAAGTGACATATTAAGAAGAAATAATGGGAAGTAGAAGATTCATGCAGTTCAGCTCTTTAATCAGCCAGCCAGCTTGCTAGCAACAAGGGATGGTTCCCGCTGAGGTGGGAATGTGGTCACCAGTGACCTCCGTCTTATCTGGGGCAGCAGTAGGAAGTTGTTTGTTCTTCATTTTTGCTTTAGCCATGTTGTAATCCCCAGAATCAAAATATTTTTGCTATAAGAAAAGTTAAAAAAAGGAGAGAATGCAGACATTAAACTTTCATATTGTAAATACACTGGTTTAAAATGTAAATGCAACTTACACTGTCAGTGTAATATTTTAGTCTAAAATCTTCAAACAAAATGTAAGTTAGAAGAAAAATAATTAAATCCCTGTGGCAAGTTCCAGTATACTTTAAAAAATAAACAAATACAGAGAAGTCTGGCAACAACCCCTTCTTCTTTGGACGTATTTCTATCACTGGTCCCAACACAGAGATAAATCCACATTGACCTTGGCATCGAGCTATGTGGAGGTCCAGAGTCCCAGATTTAAGGAAATGAAAACCTCTCATTTACGAATGGAGCAATCAGACTGAAACTCTAGTTTAAATTATTTTGAAAATAAAAACAAATTAGTCCATCAAATAACATTTGGAACTTGCCACCCTCCCCCAATTAACCTCTCCACTCAAAAACAAGCAAACCCCTCTCATTGCCATGGGCTCAGAGTGACCCTAGGAGGGTGACTCAGGTCAGAGTGCAACCGCCCCCTGTGGGTGGGTGTCTGATGCAGTAAATCTTTAAGGGACCAGACAGCCTCTTCTTTCTTCCAACGAGCAGCTGGTGGATTTGAACTACTGAACACTACCTAGTATGCCACCAGGGCTCCTCACTTAACCTTATTAACTATTAAAGCTATTTATAACTTTTGGTGTTCTGTCCTCTAGAGCAAGCATTTTGACAAGAAGTTACATCATATTTAACTAAAGCAGTTCACAGAAAAGAAAAAAAATCAAAGCCAAGGTTAAAGATAAATGCTATAGAAGATGGAAGATATAACTTCTCACCAAAAATGATCAAAATGCACATTCCCATACCTCCTTTGATCGAGTCTTGGTGACGTAGTGGATTATAAATGGGCTACTCCTAGCCACAAACGCCACAGTTCGATCCCACCAGAGGCTCCACAAGAGGAAGATGAAACTTTCTGCTCCAATAAAAACTGGCCACCTTAGAAGCCCACAGGGGCAATGACACTCTGCCCTACCGGGGTGCTGAGTCAAACTGACACAATGGCAGTACGTTTTTGGTTACCGATTTTATTCTTCACACAACTGTGCTTACAGTAGCTTTATCACTAAAATACCCCCTGTGATAAGTTTCTCAGTTTATCTGTTCCAGAGTGAAACTAGTTTTTTTATTTGCTTGGCTTCTGACTTCCATTTGTTTTGTTTAGCTCACCTACACTGAGTGAGAACTGTGTGAGAGGCACTGTTTGAGTGCTGGATGGAGATACAAAGATGGACAACAGTCAAGCAAGTTATTATTATTTTAAGTATATAAAGAATGTCTAAAGGAGGGGTCCCTAACACTGGCTAGAGTGAGTTTAGATAGCGGTTCTCAACCTGTCGCCCAATTCATAACAGTAGCAAAATGACAGTGAGGAAGTAGCAACGAAAATAATGCTATGGTTGGGGGTCCCCACAACACGAGGAACGGTGTTAAAGGGCCGCAGCATTAGGCAGGCTGAGAACTGCTGGTTTAGACTAAGGTTGAAGGAAGAAAAAGACACGTTCTCTCACAGGCACTGGGAATACCTCATGTGGTAAAGGGAAAGTGCTGGGAACTTACAGCTTCTTAGAAGTCTCACTGGGTGCCTTCTTGGCGGGAGGGTCTAAAGTTAGTATTGCTTTTCATGTAAAATAGAACACACAGTGCTAACAAGGAAAGCTGGACTAGGTCCTGCCAGGGATTGCTGCAGCTTCACTTCTACATATTTTGAAATGAGTGTTGGAAGGATCAAGAATAGTTTAAATTAGACTGAGAGCTGCCTCTGGGGGAGAACACAGCAGCTTGCCAAATTACTCACTGAGTCTAAAGCACAAAGTGAGAAATTTAAGACACGATGCAATTTTTTGGTAGAATTCTCCTAAGCCGATGTTGAACCTGGTTTTTTATTGATAATTTATTTCCCAATAAGTAGAAATTCAACATAAGGGGTTATCATTAAACTACAGGTTAGGCTACACAACTTGTGGAAAGGAAATCAAATTTATACAGTGTGGTTAGACCCAAAACTAGAACCGATGCTCAACATTGAGGACTGCCCTGGAAAGGAGTATGCCACTGCAAAAGGCAGGAAAGTGCTTAGAGAATCAGCAGAGACAATTATGTAACAAAGATGTCGGAGACAGCCCCCATAGAAGAGTTACAAGGAGTCCACCAGACTGCAGCAGAGCACTGAGGAAACAGTATTTCTCTGGTTCTTTGAGGCTTCCTCACCCCCTCCCACTGCTTTCAGTTCTGGGTAGATGGAAGCAAGTACCGATAAGAGCTCACACATGCAGAATCCAGGGCAGATAAACCCCTCAGGAGCAGAAATGGGAGGAGCGATGCCAAGAGGGTAAGAAGAACGTAGGGGTGGAGGGGAGGAAGGGGGAACCGATCACAAAGATCGACGCATAACTCACTCCACTCCCCAGGGGGATGACCAACAGAAAGGTGAGTGAAGAGACAGCGGTCAGTGCAACGTCTGAAAATAATAATAATCTATAATTTACCAAGGGCTCACGAGGGCGGGAGAGGAAGGAAAAAAGAGGAGCTGCTACTAAGTGCTCAAATAGAAAGTTAATGTTTAGAAAATATGATGGCAACTTATGCACAAATATGCTTGATACAATTGATGTAGGGAATGTTATGAGAGTTGTAAGAATCCCCAATAAAATGATTAAAATTTTAAAAAAAATGTCAGAGAAAAATATTAATGTATTAATCCTTTAGGTGGTATGAACCAAATCACTCCCCATTGTGTTCTCTCACTGAAACCCACAGGTAAAGTTGTTGTTCATAACAATTTTACATTTTTGGTGAGTTTTTAAAATAATAATCTTTAAAAATTCTGGATCATTTGGATAACAATATGAAAACCAAAGATGGGTAAGGTTCTACTTCCCCTCCCAATATAAGGGGCTACATTTACATCACTGGTAGTATTTATCACAGGGCCAGTCAGTGGATACCGATCATGTTTAATTTTGATGAAGCATTGTTTATTTATTTGGCCTTGTTTCTCTAACACGTCACAAACAAGCAAGAAAAATGTAGACTAGATTGCTTCATAACATCCCTCTTCTATCTCTGACTGCAGCCACTGTGTGCAAGGACATGCTACTAATCTCAAATGGATATACGTATGGGCATTAGTATCAAGTACAATAAAACTGAAAAGGAACTCAGAAATAATGTGGACTTCAACCTTGCCCGATGAGAACAACTGTTAAAGATGGTGAGGGAACTTGTGAAGCTGACTGTTCTGTGACAGAGGAAACCGAAACTTAGGACCCTCTGACCCAGACTTGTACAGAAGCATCTAAGAGCTTATTTTTCAAATTCTACAACCATTTCTTCAATTGGCCCTTTCTCCATTACACCAACTTCAAGATAAAATGCATACAAGTTCTAATCGAAAACTATTTAAAGTCATAAATAGTTGAAGCTCGTGGAAATTACAAAAAGTCTTAATGTTGGAGAAGCCTCAACATAGGTAAGGCTTAAGATTAGCAAAAGAATGTTCTCTAAATACAAGGGATCAGATCCCAAATCCAAAATTTAAAAGATTGTGTAATTCATTTTATAACTAAAAACTCATCTGATGTGAAATTAGTTTTATAATTTGACTCAATACATAACGCAGTTTCCAAGTTTGTGGAAAATGGAACTAAAAGGACAACTGAACTTTTTCACAGCCTTCTTGAGGGCCCTGATATACATTTCACCTTGTTGTAGCCACAATGAACATGGTTACTTCAGTCTGCTTTTTCCACTTATCCTCTGAATTTATGATTTCTATTGTATTTATTTATCACAGCTTATTTATCAATTTTTCTGCTAAACTATACCACTGCTTCTAATTACAGTTAAATCTTCAATCCTTTTTTTTTTTTTTAAATCTTCAATCCTTTTAAGACCTTTTCCTTTATTTGGAATTATGTTTTTAGATTAATTCATAAGAAATTAGTCCTTCTAAGAATGTGAACATTTTAATAAGTCTTAATTCATACCCCTTTCTAAAAGGAGAGTGATTCATTTAAAATGTTACACATACAAACGTCAAACTCACCAGTTGGCATTATTTTAAATGTTTTTCTATTTTAGTTGTATGCATACCACTGCGTGATTACGCTAATGTACATTTCATTGATTTGTCACGGATAAACATTTCCCTATGGACTTAATATTTCTCTATTAAAATTACCTTTTATGTACTATATTATCTCATTTACTCTTCATGATACAGAAGGATTTAAAGTTTTATATAATTTGGCTCTTCCTTATCATTCCTATTATTTCAAAGTTGTGAATATTAATCATCGTGAAAAACAAAAATACATCATTTTTCTGCTACCTAAAAAACAATTTATTAAAATGCTTTCTACTTAATATACTCAGATATATAAAAACAATACACATATCTTAAAGCACATAAAAATATTAGTATATTTAAGAAGAAACATGAGATGGCATCTGATTCAGTACATTGATTCTCTTTTGTAAATATGATTTTGTCCACTTCACTGTATGATAGGAAGGGGTTAAAAACTTAAGGAACAAATAAAACAGTATCTCAATTCAGCGCTCACTGTTAAGAAATAAGTTTTTAGTTTACAAGACATGGAAAGATTTTACAAAAAATATTTTCCCATTAATTTGTACTACTAAAATGAAAATGTATAAACTTAAGGGGATTAAAAAATTCTTTTCCCATGAGCTTTTTGACATCCCCTCATATTACTCTTGACTGAGAAAAGGGCATTATGAAAAGACAGTAAACTGGTATTCTATAAGTAACCTCATCCTAGTGAAAATTACTTTAAGTATTTAGGTGTTATGTGGGAATCACCTTTTAATTAATCAGTTAGAAATTTTAGAATAGAGGCAGCATGGCTATAAATGGCTGCTTTTGAAGAGAATAAGGAGTGGATTTTATACATGCCTGGGCTAGGTTGCCTATAATCTCTATAAAGGCAGGTTCTGTTATACTATAATCTACAATTTTCTATGTAATTGAAATCAATCCTTATTAAAATATTAAAGAATTGCAGCTACATATAAAATGCTATGCACACATATACACCAAAGGGGCTTTGAAAAAATTTTTTTTGAAAATTCCATTATCTTTTACCTCTATTTCCCCATATACTTTTTGAAGCTCCCTCAACTATGTGACTGGTAAGTTACTGATATACATCAATATACCAGTACTTTGTACTCATAGGGCTTAGGCATTTGAATATTGCACACGAGAACTTACCCCTTTCTGCAATCGTTTCCTTAAAAAATCTGAACCTCCAGGCTTTTGTCCCAGATGAGGATACCTTGCTTTTAATTTTGCTTCTTCAGCTTTCTCCGGACTAGTCACTTTATCTTCCATTTCCTGAAATGATATTAAACAAGTTTGTAGTTCTCTGCGACAAGTATAATTTAAAATAATTCACCTCTTAATATATGAATTGATTTCTGTTTTCCAATCCAAATAACAGAGCATCTGACTAAGAAATCAAGCACAGAACCCTTTTAAAACATCTCTACTTGTTTTTCAAATTATCCATGTGATAGCTCTATTATAGCTCTGATGCATGTGTAACACCCCACACACTGGGTAAAAATATCAAGACAGCTCAGCTCTGCAGTCTTACTTGTCATTACTTTCCAGTCATGTAGAATACATTTACAGTTAGTCACCTTCTATGGAACTCTTCAGATCTCTATACTGAATCCTAATACTTTTAAAAACAAAGATTTCTTTGTCTCTTGTTTTATCCAAGTTATGTGACATACTACTAAGATTTCTTACTTGAAGTTAACATCTAATTGATCAAATAGATAAAGCAACCAATTTATATCTCTATAGTCATATTAAAAATGCAGAATACGGAATACAGAATTACCATATATACTCGAGTATAAGCCGACCTGACTATCAGTTGAGGCACCTAATTTTACCACAAAAACTGCACTAAATGTGCTGGACAAACTTGGGCTTATACACAAATATATACGGTAATATAGACATAGACAGTAAATAAGATGGGGGGATCATATCTGATCTCCTCAAGCTTCCTTATTGCCAAGGGGTAGGGGGTTAGACATGCCTTCTGACTCCATTATACTTCACTCTGATGACAACTGCACTCTACGTCTAAGCTGGGCTTGATAATGCATTGCAATGGCCACAGAGCAGTCAAGACAAATCCAAATTACAGTGGTGCATTAGGAAAGAATAGGTTACCACAAGTCAAGACCAGTAAATAGTAAGGACATAGTCGTTGTTCCACAGAAACACCTCTCCTCAGCTAGCAGTCAAGTCCCTCTCCAACCTCACCCTTGCAGCCAAATGGTTCCTTTACTTCTGCTTCTGTGGGCCAGGATGCCAGCCTGCCTGCCACTCTGCCGCAACAGTTCCAGTTTCAGCACAGCTCCTCCTGCTCTGTCTCAGTCTCCATGCCACACTCTCTGATGCCTCTGGTCTCAGGCACTGCCACTTCAGACAGCGATCCAAACATCCTGGGCTCACTCTCTGCTGCTGCTTCAAGAACGGATGATCTTTGTTGCCACCGGAAGGATAATGAAATCTGACCAACCTCTTCTAATTAGTGTTACATGCACCCTATTTGCATAGTCCCACTTAGTCATTTGGTGGGAGTTAAGAGACTTGGCAGAGAAACCACATTAAGATTTTCACTCTACCACATGTCAATCCCCGTGAACTTTTAAAAGCCCTCCTCTTATATACTGTCTAATTAATGTTTAGGTCAAAGATCTCATTCTTTAGTATATCAAAACCTATTTTCTGACCAAGCAATGTCAATATTTTCTTTTCAGTCATTTTTAATACCAGTCTTGATAAGGTCTACCTTCTTTCCAAAAGCCGTATTTTACCAGGAAACTGTCACTTTCAGGTCAGTACTGCAGAAGAATGAATCAGAAGAAACAAAGCTGCCCTGGGATGGGGGAGCGGGGCCCACTCTCTAGCTAGTGAACGAACTCCATTTTGCACATCAGCTCGGTAAAATAACGGACAATTACCTCCCAAGCTGATTAGTGCAAAAGCCGTTGAATCCATTCATTACGCACCAATCTACTGTTTTATACGCACCAATTAGATCATCTATCCATCTATTAATTATTAATCACCTCACAACTTTTGCATATATTTTCCTTAAAATTAGTCATGCATGTTTTACAATCTTATTTGCTTCATGTATTGTTAACATTTCCTTCACCTTGAGCAACTTCCTTGTGTGTTTACATCTCATTTTTAGACTTGGAAAAATTTAAAAAGAAAGTGGCTACTATCAAATATGCTTGATTGTGACAGGGCTACTCTTCATTTTCCCTTTCTGCTGAGTGTTCTCCTTGCTTGTCTTTTATGCTGCAGTGTTTCATACATCTACGCTGACTGAGTGGTCAGATCATTCAATCATTCGGTATACGCAATATTTAACCAGGGTGATCTGCTGGAGCGAGAGACAGACATTGAAGAGGTGATTCTGCTGCTCATTCCATTCAAGAAGGGCATGTTCCAACGACAGCTCTCAAATCTGCCATTGCACACTGGCCTCAAGCTATAGGTAGATTTCATAATAGAAAAATTAACGTTTGCCAAGCTTACCACACTTCAGCTGTCAATTAACTAAAGAATCAGCTGTAGTTGTGTGGCTGCTGTTACCTGGCAGGGACATATGTGCTGCTGGTCCCACTGTGCCTTCCTTCCTTACCTACCTGCTGTCCCACTCTGCTGGCAGCAAGATGGCTCATAAGCAAATATATTATTTGGACAAATACTTCAGTGAACATTATGAGGACCAGCACATCATGTTACCCAGAGAACTTTCCAAAAAAGCACCCCAAACCCATTTAAAAGTGAGGGTGACTTGGTGTTCTCTTGGCGTCTAGGCTGGGTACATCTCGTGACTCATGAGCCACTTTCAAAAGAGCAACAAAAATGAAGACTACATAGGGATTTCCAAATAAATCTTTTCCAAGCTTAATGTTTATGTGTTTATATGGTGTAGTATTTAGTGAATGGAAAATATGTACAATTATCCATCCACACCTGTGCATGAGCTATATTCGTCACAGCAACAAAGCTTAGTTAAATAACTGTAAATAAATTACTATATGGTTTTTAAGACATAACATCCTTTAATCAGTTTTTTTTTAAATCTAAGTAAATTGCCTGTTGGACTTTTACCTGTTACTTTTGTTTATAATAAAGTTTCAGTGTTTCATCTGTTACTACTGGAAGTTAAAAAAAAAAAAGCTGGTTCAACCCTGAACAAAAAAGTGAATACTTAGTATACAGAGAACATGATGTAGTCTATGTAATTAATGTCTTTTCTGAAGATTTTTCCAAGAGTCATTTAACTTACATAGGATTTTTGCCTAGTAAATTTATAGCTATAGCCTAACCCTCATGTAAGACAGGACTATGGTGGAGAAATCCTCTAAGTTTAAGGTGATCCCTTATATTAGAAGATGGGCTGGGTTACAGCGTCCTTCTTATGGCTCAACTGTAACTGCAGACATCGACTGTGAGCAGCACAAAGGTGTTCCTACTGCTGCAACACAGTGGACTTGAGAGGTGGGACCTACCCTTAGGTTTCCCTGTTGTTTTAAAATTACGCTGGTTGAAAAGAGCTCCAAGCTCACTGCAACCCTCAATTCCAGCACCTTCAGATGCAGGAGTGTGGGGTTAAGGGTAAGAGGGAACCCCACAAAACATCACAGGTTTGGTAGGCGCAATTGTACAGCGATAATAAGTAGAGATTATAGTAAAGTCATAGAGAGCATGAGAGTTAAAGGATAGACTCAAGTAATGGAGTCAGACGCAATTCATGGTAGCATATCTCACCTCAGCCCGGCTTGATGGTCCTCGTGGAGGGGGCTTAGCTGTCAGAGAAGAAGCCGCTGCTTCGTCCTCCTTAGTCACCTTCTCCAGCCACCCTCTGGCCAGCCACCCTCTCGAGTACCAGGGAGCCTCGTTATTTATTGCTAACCAGGCATCATAGAGTCATACATCACAGAAAGGGGCAATACAATTCATTCTAGAACAAGTTTGATCATTCTGGTGTCTCATACAATAAAGCGGGCAATTACTATCCTGGGAGACATGCAAGTTCCCTGATAGTGGACAATAACCTGAGTCACCAGGAGGGGTATTAACATAGGCAATACGAGCAATAGGAGGGGGATGACCTAAGGGTGAACGTGCAATAGTAAGAGGAGGGAATAGGGGCCATGTGTGGCAAGATAGTAGCCTAAGCTTAGTCATCTTAGAGTGGTCCCGGGCTTGCCTATGGGCACTGCTTCGAGGGAACAATAACAGAAAGGAATGGGCTTTATTTAGGGTGAGTCAGACTAATAGTCTAGCCACTATAGATGGCTGATGTTAAGGAGAATAACCTCTGACTTACTTTCGCTGTCTAAAGAACAGTCACGCTAAAGCAGCTAAGTTTGGTACATATTTTGGGGAGACAACTTAAGAGAAATCCTTCTGTTCCCCACACAGGAGTGTTAAGAATCGCTGATGGCACAACGCTCAAGTGCTCTACTGCTTACCAAAATGCTGACAGTTGAAGCCCAGGACTCCCTATAGGAGAAAAGACTGGAAAATCTGCTCGGGCTAAAGATTATATTGACGTGGGTGTTAAGTATACCCTATGGGGCAGTTCTACTCTGTCTTATAAAAGCCTCATCTTTGTCCCAAGGAGTGGCTGGTGGTTTTGAATTGCTAACCTTGTGGTTAGCATCGCAACATAACCCACTACACCACCATTACTCTCCCACTCTGATCTATAGGATGGTACAAGTTAGAAACAACATTAAGACACATGATAACAAAAGAATGGAATCGTTTATCCCGGGCTGGCATAATGGCTTTTATCCTTGGTTACTAGTTGAAAGGACGGCAGTCAGAAGCCACCCGGCAGCACCAGCACAGAGTAGCTTGGCAATGTACTTTCCGAAGATTAAAGCCACCGACAATCTGCTGGAGCAGTTTACTCTGGCACCCATGGGACTGCTCTGAGTGAGAAGAACAAAGTTGACGGCAAGTAAGTTTTAGTGGCACCCTGCACTTCTACTAAGACAATTTAGCTTTCTTGAATTGAGAACTCTCCGCTTCTTTTGCTCATCAGTTCTCTGTAGCTACAGCTCTTTAGGTTCAGCCACAAGGCATTGGGAGCAGGAGACTGAGGCTCAGAACAGTGTGGCTTGTAAAGGGTCACTTTTTCTACAATCTCTAGAAACATCAGCCTCCCTCCTTTTGCTCAGCTATCCCTTCTAATAGTTAGTCACTTTCTTGCACAGAGCTGCTGGTGGTTTGGAACTGCTCACCTTCCGATTAGCACAACACATAACTCACTACATCACCAGGGCCCTTTAAGTACATTTACACATATACATATGAGGGGGTAGGCACTGGCCAACAGGGATGTAATGTGAGGGGGATAGTGTATTTG